TGAGAATACATGTATAATTTTCACTATCTTGAATAGAAGATAAAATGGGGTGAAGATTGATCAGATTGCGGCAGGATTGTGAGTAACATTTCCTTTTTTTTTAAATCTTTATTTATTATAGAGGGTTAGATCTACTAGATCAAGTCACCCTCATAGGTACACAACCAAACACATAATCAGACAATGATAAATTAAACGTAAACAAAAGATCACCTATTCTTAATACCTAGTAATACAAGTTTATAAAGTTTCCTAGCTTTATCCGACAATGGAAAAGCTAGGATAGTATTATATAGTCCAACACTATTTTTATCCAAACCCAATTGCTTTCTATATGCTTCGTTCCGTTCACATTCCATCATAATGTGAATAACATCTTCCACAACTCCACATTTGTCACAATTTGGTGAATTTACTTTTCTCATTACAAACGCAAATTTGTTTAATGGTACATGTCCGGAACGAAGCCTCATTGCTGTAATGATTTCTTGCCTTCCCATATTGCATCCTTCAAACCGAAGCAAGCGGGAAAGATGCGGTTGTACCGTCCTATACCAAATACCTTTTGACAGTGACCTTTCATCAAAGTATTCGGACCACTTTTCTGTACAGTTTTCACGAACTTTAGATAGAAGTTCAGAGTAATAAGGTACACAGTCGGTATTCTCCTCATCACTTATCGCCTCTTTAGCAAGAACGTCTACTGCCTCATTTCCCTCTAAGCCAATATGGGAAGGCACCCATTGTAAGACAATGCTTTTGTTGTTAGATTTTAACGTTACAATATTACTTAATATGTCGTAAGCCAATGGAAAACCGCGAAACAATGAAGTACATTTCTTTAAATGTTGAAGGACACTGCGAGAATCTGTTAATATCAACAATTTATCATACTTAAGTGACTTGACATAAGATAAGGCTTCTGCAATTGCAATGAGTTCCGCATGCATAACTGAAATTTCCTTACCTAAGCAGAGCTTAACATATTCTTTGGTTTGAATGTCTAAAAATGCAGCACCCGTTCCTTCTTTATCCTTAGAGCCATCAGTATATACTTTATAATAATTTGTAAAGTTTTCAGCTAAATATTTATGACATAAAATTCGTAGGTAATGGGGATTGTATTTATGTTTAGGTGCATTTACAAATTCTATTTGAGGGATTATTGAATCGGACAAATCCAACTTGCTAATCCACGAATTGAGTGAAAACATTTCTAAGTGAGGACTTGAAAACATACGAGTTTCTTTAAATAATCTATAGATTGTAACTAGCAGTGGGGTTTTTCTACGTCGCCAATAAAAGCTTTCTTTAAGTTCATCAAGAATACATAATAAATTTGTCACAATATTTTCATCAATAGACCTACACTTTAACCAAAATTTACCAGCTAAATATCTTCTCCGAATAAATAATGGCTGTAAAAGCAGTTCCGATTCCATTACATGGATAGGAGTGCTCTTGACAAACCCACCAATTAACCGCATACACTGATTTTGTATTACATCTAGTTTTATTAAATGTGTTTTATGGCTATTATCAAATAAAAAGCTGGCATAATCCAATCTACTCTACGTATAATAGCTATATATAAGCGACGTAGCTGAACTGGGTGTACTCCCCAACCTGGTCCTATCAAAACTTTCAAAATATTTACAAACTTAAGGGCTTTTTCTTTTATTTCATTTATGTGCTTGTTCCATCGAAGAGATCGATCTAACCTTAACCCTAAATATTTAACGCTTTCAACGATTTTAAGGCTTATTTGTTAACCGTTATATTTATGCTTTCCCCTACGCGTCCATTCTTAAATATGCATACTTTACTTTTCGATGAAGATATTTCTAGGCCTAACGTAAAAAATAAACTAGTAAGAGTATTCAGAGCTAACTGTATATCAATAACTCCGTTACTGATACTGTCGCAATTTTTATATATAACAAAATCATCCGCATATTGAGAGATATAAACATTCTTGACGCTTTTACATACATTAAGAGTAGCTATATTAAACAAAAGAGGAGATAATGGATCTTACTCCGTAAATCTACTGATAAACACGTTATCCACATACATTTTGAGATGTCGTTCATTAAGGAAACTACTAAGATATTGACAAATTTTTTTCCCTATATTTAGTTGATCTAAAGTGTACAGCAATGCATTTATGTCAACATTATTATACGCATTGTCTAAATCTAAAACATCCTATCGTGGACTGATTCTCTGAAAACCCTATTTGTATCCTTGATACCAAACTACTAAGACTATCTAAGCAGGATCGGCTTCTCCTAAAACCGAACGTATTAGAAGAAAAGACTTTGTTTTTTTCGAGAAACCATTCTAGTCTCCCTTTAATAATTGAATAAAAGATTTTGCATAAGCAAGACATAAGTGATATTGGGCGTAAGGACGATACATCATTAATGTCTCTTCCAGGCTTTGGGATTGCTATAATACCAATATCTCGCCATTTTGATGGTACGAAACTGTTGTTAAGAAAAGCATTATACAGTTTGATTAAAATGCATTTGCCCTTAAACGGAATGGGTTTTAACATACAATATGCTATGCCATCGCATCCAGGAGATGTATCCTTTAATTTAATACATGTGTCAAGCTCCTGAATCGAGACCTCTTCCTCTAGTAACATGTTACTAGAACTGAAAGTAGCCTGTTCCGGTGAAACAAAATCTGGCGTTAGACTGCGAAGAAGTATTTCTGCTTTTTCTTTGTCTATATGGTGGGTATTAGGTGACCTAAAACCTTTCATCCATCTCATCTTGTTCCACATATCCCTAGTGGTTGTTTTTTCATTTACCGAATCACAAAACCTCTGCCAATTACGTAATTTAGCCTGACGAATTAACCTCTGTGTGTCTCTAATTTTTTCTTGGAGTATAGATAAATTCTGAGGTGTTGGGTTACGTCTAAACCTAGCCAGTGCATGTCTACGAACAGCTACCGACTTCGATAATTCTACGTCCCAGTAAGACTTCGGTACAAATTTAGACTCTGGGTTTTGATTTATTTTTATAAAAGGGATATGAATGTCAGCTGCTAAATTTAAATATTTCAAAAATGTATTGTAACATTTTTGAAGGTCGGTTGTGTGTATTGGGAACTGATCAAAAAGTGTTTCAAGAGTACTCTTATAACCGTCCCAGTTTGCTTTTTTAAAATTCCTTTTAAGATCACACTCTAACCGCTTTTGACATAAACCTGATATTTTAATCATAAGATGATCACTACCTAGAGTTTCTCGAAGTACCCTCCAATTAAATTTATGGACGATATCCGACGTCATAAGTGATAGATCGGGAGAAGACGCTTGTAAGACTCTATTTACGAATCTAATTCGAGTGCTTTCTCCATTATTTAATATAGCGAAGTTCGTATCTAAAAGCGAGTCAAATATTTGTGAACCCCTGTTATCAGTCTTGTATGACCAGCTTGAGTGGTGAGCGTTGAAGTCCCCAATGATTACGGTTTTACAACTAAATGTAGAAAATAATTCATCCCAATTTCTTTGGCAAGTACGCACTGACGATGGACAATAGATAGAAACGATATTCTCTAAATCCTGACAGTTAAATTTTTTTATATAAATAGCTTCTAATCCATCATTACTTAGTTGTAAATGCCCCCTAACCGTTTTAAGAGATTTGTGCGCTAAAACAGCAACACCCCCATAAGAGTCAGCGCTATCATTACGGTAAATATTATAATTTTTGATTTTAATATAAGTTTCAGAATTTAACCAAGTTTCGCTTAAGGCTACGATATGTATTTTTTCCATAGTTAATAAAGGCTCTAAGGACATTAGTTTAGGCTTAACACTTTGAGCATTCCACTGTAAGATATTAAGATTTACTATTTTACAGTTAAGGTGTTCATCCAATAAATAAGTTTAAAACGGTTTTCAACATTGGCATTCCGAGATATTGTCCACAGTTACAAAAATTAACCACTCAACACATAACTTTATCACTTTGTAAACTTTCTCTTGCAAACTAAAATTATTAAAAAAAATTACTTCCATTAACCTCATAAGTAGCTCACTGAAAGATATTTTATTAGAAGATTCGTTGTTATTTGCCTCACTATAGCTAGTACTAGGTTCAAATCTATTACTTTGTAATGACGTGTCACGCTCTGTACTTTTTTATTTGGCGCCGGCGGGGCGATGATGTCTTACTTTCACATTGGCTAATATTGTCTACGTTATTCAATATGCTATTGGCCGTCACTTCTGCAAAAGTAGGAACATTTCGGACTTTAGCCGCTTCCCTCTCCGGTGTGATATAATTACACTCCTGCTGGATGCTATCTTGTTCTATAAATTTTAGGTCCATTTGTCTATGTGGTGTTGGCGCAACATAGATTGTTAAGGCCCTTCTGTATGTGCAATTAAACTCGGCAATAAGTTCTCGCAACCTTCTTTCTTTGAGGTAGGCAGGGTAACTTCCTAGCTAAAGCCATGTGACTTCCAGAACAATTGACACATTTGAATGTTTTAGTGTCACAATTCTCATGTTCTCCCCCACATTTCGTGCATATTGTTTTCTTAAATGGACATAACCAGCGAATGTGACCCAACTTCCAACATTGTGAGCATTGTGAAACGGGATAAACATATGGCTGAACAGTTATTTTCATATCGAAAATATATACGTATGAAGGTAGAGAGGACCCTTTAAAACAAAGCCGTATGGTTTCACTTGGACACCACCCTTCTTGTTTCGTGTAACCTCGTCGCTTAAGCCTTTTAACGGATATTAATTCTGTAGAATCTGGGCATGATATATTTTTCATAATTTTTTCTTCAGACATTTCTAACTCCACGTCTCTTATAATTCCGTAAGAGTAGTTTACCTCCATTGCCTTTTGAATTCTCCATCCCATAAAAATGAATGTCGCACAGGTACTTAATTTTTGAACGTTTTCCTCATTCGAAAATTGCAACCTTACTTTAAATGGGTTTAAGTATTTCACTCTAATTATGTCAGTAATTCCATTTTCATTGAATAACCGTGCCAAAGCAAATTGCTTGGGCAGCTTTTCATTGCATGCAATGTATATACCTCGATATCTGTTTCTGTACTTAACTTCTCATCCTCGTGCAGTCGTTTTTTCTTCCCATTTCCCTTCACAATCTTCCACTCATCATCACTCTCCTCCGTTTCTCTGATTCTTTTAATAATCCTAGGCGTATTTTTACCAATACTATCCCGCTCTTCTACTTCTAAGTCTGCAATATCGTCTTCGCTATACATAATATTAATGTTAAATTCTTCATTCTCGTCCGTCATTTTGCGTATACCCGCAAGTAACACTGAGTAAGCTTGCGCGTAAGCAGGCCGCGCGGCCCTACCTACCCGCGTGAGTAAGCAATGAGTAACATTTCCTGATATAGTGTAAAATGATGATACCTCTATTTCTTCTCTGACCCTCGCTTGTATATAACTCTACTATGTAAAGGCACTTGATTAGGTGAACCTCCAAATTGGTGGAACTGTATTTCTTTAAAATATTTACAGTTATAATTTTCACTAAAGTCTTCACTTTCACTTCTTCAATGCAAGTTCTGTAGTTTCTGTACTGTGTCTTTATGTAATAAACGTGCCTCTTGAACTCTTGCAGTTTAATTTGAAATTCATCTATCAAGGATTTTCCTGTACTCTCCTTTTCTTCTTTTAGGTTTTTTGTAATTTGGTATTTTTTTCCAAACTTCTCCATAATTTCAATTTTTCTTTCTCACTGAAAGTACTTTACTATTGTTTCATCCTTAGTGACATCATATTTAATTTTTCTCGACTGACATTTAGAACAAATTCCTGTCATACAAGTTGGTGAATTTTCATCGCATACTTGTTTGTTTATATGTAATATGTAGTATAATTTTATTAAGATCTGAGGTTGGAATTACTTTGTTTTTACATAGAGTAACAGCCAAATACTGAATGTTTATATGCATTCGACATAAGCATGTTTCTGTTGCAGCAACAGGTCCCTGAATTACATAAAATGGTCTGTTTCGAGTAAAAGTAGTGTAGGAGCATTTTAAATCAGTGTTATCTCGTTTAAATGAAACAAAAAGGTTCTTCATGCTGTCAAGGGGGTAAAGTTTTTGCATTTTAAATTTGTTACTAGTAACTGTTACGTTTTCCAGCAGTTGCTCTCATCATCATCACGGTTGAAGAATTCTTTTATTCTGTCACTTTGAACTGTTTTTCTGAGCTTCGGTTGTTCCTTTTCTATGTAAACTTGGTCCATATTTAAGCACTCTTATAATTTGCATTTTCTTATTAGAACTTTTCGCGGTCTTCTCTTTGAATTTTTTTTTAATAGTACGCTATTCTTTCTGATTTCTAACTCTCTCATAGCCTTTTTTAATAGCTTTTGACTAAATCCTTTACTTATCATGAATTTTAAGGCAATTATCTTAATTATTTTTTTTGCTCCTTTTTGTTTTTCTCTATTATATATCTTCTTGTATTTTTCGTATCTTTTTTTTTTATTTCTTTAATTTCTTCCTTTAATTTCTGATTTTCTCGGATTAACTTTGATCATTTTTTTTACCTATTTTCTATCACAGTTTTGCTGCTGTTGTGGTTGAGTCAGGGCTATTTTTATGAGGTGTTGATAGTTGAGGTGCAGACAAACGGTGAATCGACGGTAAAACTCGTGGAAGAACTTGGTTTTGACCTTGTGGACTTGGAGTACGTATACGTGGGGTCATGATTGCAGGTGAAGATTCTGCAGTATACATTACTGTGCGCAGAGCCTTGGCTCGGTCTCTCCGTTTGGCATTTGCAGCTCGACATTTCTTTTTCATTGCTCGGTGTTCCCTTGACGTTAAATCTTAGACTAATCGTTTCTCTGTATGGTATCTCTCGAGGTCTTTTTTTATTTGCCGCCTCTTTTTCAGTGTTCATTTTGCGTCGTTCTCTGTACCGTCGCTCCTTTTCAGCAGGCGTAAGAGCCATCTTAGAACACGATTAGTGGTGCAAAATGTCCTGAAACAAATTTTTTAGTGTCAATGAGTATAAAATTTTATATCTTCATTGTTTGAAAGCAGTAACAACCCAATTGATATACAAATTGAGACCAAAACTAACAAAACATTAAAAAATAAAACTCTGTTACTCAGCCGACAAATATTAACACGAGCTAGGTAACAGAGTTGTTCAGTAACAGATAAATTGAAAATACTCTTAACAATAAGTTGAAAAATAAGGAATAAATTGGAATTATTGTTTCATTTTTAAGATATGCATTTCTTATATTACTTAAATAATGTGAAATCATAAAGGAAATTTTAATTACTTACGCTATAACGTTGGTAACAGTGTGGATCCAGAATAAACACACGTACCTCTGGCTGGCGTAGACATGTGTCAATCATGAATGATTCGTTCGTTTGAGCTGGTACACTTAAATGTATAAGATGAATGAAATCTGTTTTTGAATGTAACCGGTACAACCAATCACAAACAATTGACGGAACCTTTTTAATTCGCGATTGTTGTGAATTGTAAAAGTGTCGACCCTATATGTAGGGTACTGGATCCCGAAATGAAGCATTTGAATGATCGATCCGAATGAACAAGTACGCGTGAGGAAATGATTCAGTCACGAAAAATGAATGATTGACACATGTTTAGCTGACGTTGCATTCTACCTCCGCCCCCGCGCTCTATCTAGAACGATCTTATGGACGACACACACGGTCAGTTCAACCGATCATCATCAGTTCAAATTAGGACTTTTGATATTTTTTAAAATATCGGATTTACAATATATCGATAAATAAACTTAGATATAAAAATTCGATAGTGATACATTTATAATTTTCTGTATATCGAAAATCCGATATTTAAAAAAATATTAACAGTCCTTGTTTGAACTGATCAGTTGGAATGATCAGTTGAACTGACCATGTGTCGTGAGTGGCGACCATTAGACAACGTAGCGAATTTACTGCGTGTGCCATATTTGTATATAGTAACAGTGTTGCGAAATGAATAAATGAAAGAAAATACAATTTTGTACAAATTTGTATTTTAAAGCAATTACTGTGTTAACGCAATGTATGTATTAAGTTATCGTAGTGATTTTAATTTATTCGTTTAAGAGAAACACAAGTTATTAACATATAATTGTACTGCACTACTGTCTGGGATACGATAATTTTGTACGAAAAAAACTCAGTTACCAAGAATGACTTGAAAAAAGATCAAATTAGATAATTAGTTTTCTTATTGAATGTTTTATTTACTAATTTATTTTTAATTTATTAATTTTACTTCGAAATTTTTAAGTTATTATTTTTAAATTTACTTTAAAATGCCTAAATAATCGCCCTAAAAAGCAAACGTGCATGTATAATTCGTCATATTCCTTTTTTAAGTCCCATTGATCCCTATGACATTTCTTCTATTAGAAATAATTTAAAAAACACTAAAAGTACTGGGTTTTATGACATTTATGTATCAGTGTTAAAATATGTTTGTTGTAATATTGCGCCCATACTAAGCCACATTATCAACTTATGTTTTGAACAGGGTATTTTTCTATCAATATTAAAGACTACAATAATTAAACCCCTCCATAAAAAGGAAGCTAAATGTAATATCGCCGATTTCGCTCATATTTTTAATTGCAATTTGAAGTTTCGATTTACACGTTCTCGATGGCGAAGAAAAATATCACGAAGAAACCCGCATATCTGAGAAGTTAAAAATATTTCGGAAATCATTTTTAGGTATAGTGTAAAGTTGGTCATCCCGCATTGAGACAGTCCCTTTCTGAGATTCGCTGGGACCTGTGCTCAGTAGTTGGATGTATCTAGACTACTTTTTTACTTTTAATAGGGTTATTTACTGCTGATGACCGGATATTTGCAGTAATATTCACGCTTGGCAAGCGGGTTGGCAACTGCAGCTTTTTATTATTTTGCACTGTTGTCAGGAGCCGTGGTAGCTCTGATGGTTAGCGCTCGCTGTAAAGTCGCATTACGCGAGCAACCGGGGTTCTATTCCCGCCCGCACCAATCAAGGATCTCCTAGGTGTGCGTTGTTTGCAGTTAGCAGTGGCTGTAAATGACCGCCGGTACGACATACTCCGCCGAACGTTGAGTCCCGTGATTCCGTGAGGCGTCGAGGTCACCGGCCCCTAGGTGATTCTTGGGCACTTTATGCGCTCCGAGCATCCTGTGCCTAGTCGCGACATAAAGTGCCACCGTTGCACTTCCCCCAACCCTTTTGGTGTACAAAAGGGGTAGGTAGTGCCCAGAGTGTTGAAAGCCAAAGACTTTTATTACCATAGTTTAGATAGGGCCTTTTTAGAGTACGACTGACGTTGTTAGGGCAGTAGCATGTCAGGTAGGGATAAGGGGGAGCCACCTCCTTCAATAAGAAAACCACCAGACAAAAGAAAAGGTGTGTTGGATCGACCACTGGTTATGAGGGATCTGTCGAACCCGGAACGCACGAGGGTTGTGTCCTCCTTTTCACAGATCCCCCAACGCAAACCCGTCTCGCCACGGAAAGAGCCCGCACCGGGCGGCGCGCTCACGCCGGCCGTATCTGAGCATACGGTTAGGCAAGAACCATCGCCCCAACAGCAGCGGGCAGTAAAAACGGCTAGACGCCACACGCCACCGGAAACCGAAGCCTCCTTATTTGAAAAGAGGCAAAGGATAGGCTCCCCAACTGTCCTCCGATGAAGCACCGTCCACATCGGAGGAAGATGACGAATTCCACCATCGGGTGACACCGAAGAAGGTGTTAAGATCTCCACCCAAATCACCATCTCCACCGCAACTCCCCCCCGCTCCATATCTCCGGATCGACGAAGCCGAGACTCGGCCCAGTATGAGCAGGGGGGGTGAAGAATCCTACAGTTGGGGGTCTACTACATACGCCACCCTCGCTGCATCCGCCGGCCGGTCCTCGCCGGCGGCAACGATCAATCCGTCCGGGCTCCCACAGGACGATGGCCAACGGCCATCAACCAGTTATGCCCATATGGTAGCTGCACCAGCAGTACCACGACCACCTCCGGCGGCAGTGCCAACCGAGAAGCCTGCCGACCAAGATAAGACCCGATATCCGCCCATAGTGGCTGAATGCCTACCGGATTGGACGAGGCATTTTAAGGAGCTCAACAGAATGTTGGGCCACCCCTTGAATGCCCGTCCATTCGGGAAAGGCGTGAGGTTCACTCCGCAAAGCGCGAATGAATTCAGGACAGTCCAACGTTACATGATCGAACTGACTAAGGAAGTACCAACATTGTCGTGGTATTGCTATACCCCGGAGGAGGACAAGCCCACTAAAGTGGGCATCCGGGGTCTACCAATGGGCACGGACACCAAGGACATAGAGGAGGCAATTAGGGCAAAAAGGCTTCCAAGTCAAATATGTCAAGGCAATTCCACCGCGTAGAAGCAGACCTGGCTGCATCTACTTTGCCCAGTTTGACCACCTGAGCCTGGAGCAGCTCCAAGAACTGTACAAGATCGACGAACTCCTCTTTATGAGAGGAGTAGTCATCGAGGCCTGGCAAAGGAAAGTAGGACCGGCTCAATGCCACCGCTGCCAGGCCTTCGGACATGCATCCGCAAACTGCTTCAGGCCAGTGAGATGCGTGCGCTGTGCCGGGGAGCACATAGCTAGCCTTTGCCCACGGGGTAGAGAGGAACAACCCACATGTGCCAACTGTGGAAAAAACCA